GAGTGAGCTACGCACACAATTGGACACTCCATGCGTATAGACGCTAAATAAAGGTGGTGCACGCAGTACAATCAAACCGCAAAATTCTGCAGATCCTGGAAATCTGAATACAACAACAGAAGTCGCTGGGAACACTCAGCAGGTCAGGCAGCATCTACGGAGTAAGGAAAGTGAGCCAACATTTCTGGTCCATGACCCTTCGTCGGAACTGAAAAGATTTGTCGAAGGCTTGTAGCAGCAAAACATTGACTCACTTTCCTTTCTCCATAGATAGTGCCTGAGTTGCTGAGTGTTCCCAGTGACTTCTGTTGTTGATATTGAGGTGTTAGACTGGAGCCGCAATCACACACGGCATGATGGACTGGGGGTGTTTGTGATGTTTGAATTGAGGCTGGGATCAGATGTGTGTTTTCCTTGTCGGCTTCCACTTGCTGTAGTAGTGACCTTTCTTACTTTCTTACTTTCTCAGCCCTCCAACACCTAAAACAATGGTGAGTGAGCCCATGTTTACTATACTTACAGCCCAGGAATGCAGAATGTATTTTCTATTGGCCATATATTGTCATGGACTTGGGTATAGGAGTAGAATTTCCAAGTATACAGATGATGATAAGCTAAGAAGAAGTATATGATGCGGAGGACAGTTGCAGACTGCAGGAGGACATAGTTGTAATATGGGCAGACACGTGGCAGGTGAAGTTTAATTCCAGTAAAGTGGACAGAATGCAAAGTAATGTGTTTTGGGAGGAAGAATGAGGAGAGGCTATGTAAACAAGATGGTAGAATCCTGTGCGTAGAGTCCTGTGCGTTCATTTCAGTACGTTTTTGAAGGTGGCAGCACAGGTCGATAAAGCTGTGAAAAAAGCATTTGTGACAGAATACAAAAATCAGAAAGCTATGATGAAACTTTATTAAACACTGGTTAGCCAAATGAGGCAAACCTCAGCTGGAGAATGTATTGAATTCTGGCCACCACATTTTCGGAAGGATGTCAAGGCATTGGAGGAGTGCAGAGGAGATTGTATCAAGAAACTTCAGATCAGAGGCTGGAGACGCGAGGATTATTTTCACTGAAGCAGAGGAGTTTAAGAGCAGACTAAATAGAAGTTTCTAAAATTCTGAGAGATTTGATAGGGTGAAGAAGGAGAAACTATTTGAACTGGTGGGGTGCTCTGTAACCAGAGGGCACCGTTTCAAAGTAGTTGTCAAAAGAAACAGAGGGGAGGTGAGCAGAAAGGTTTTCACAAAGCGAGTGGTTGGTTCAGGATTGCATTGCCTGAAAGCGTGGTGGAAGCCAATTTGATAACAATTTTTAATACAGATTAGATAATTATTTGAGGAGGACAAAGCTGGATGCTGTGGGTGTGGATTAGGGGAGTGTTATTGATTGGACAGCTCTTTTCAAACAGCCGGCACAGACACGGTGAGCCATATGGCCTCTTCTGTGCTGTATAATTCTATATTTCTATGATCTTATTGAGATTCACGTGCAGAATGAAGTTGCTTGGTCTAAATTTCAACTCTTGCAATACACAGAGTGTTTGAGTATCAATTTTGGAGTCATAATTCAATTCATTTCAAATTAATTTGTTGTCACATCAAGTGCGGAATCGTTGTTTTGTTATTTCACTGTAACTTATCTTTTCTGCCTTTTGCAGTTCACCCTCACAAGCCATTCCGTGAGGCATTTGTTGCTTTCCAAACCCAACTTGTGCTGAATGTGTAAAACGTCATTCAAATATAGAATTCCCAGTTGCCTGAAGCTGAGAATTGGATTGCAGTGTTGGGTCTGATCAGAGACTGTAAAGAACGGCATGAAATAGGAGATTGTTTGGGGTGTTGAATTGTGTGCTGGAGTCAGTGTGTGTTTGTCTTGTCAGCTTTCAGCTGCTCCACCAGTGACTTTTCTTTCCTCCTTTCTCAGCCAACTTTCCTGGACGATGGCCGACAGGTGAGACACAACTTGTTATACTTTCAGCACAGCAATTCTAGGAGCAGTGAGAATGTTGTCTCAGGGCCGGATATTGCATTTGAATGTTTGAATCAATCAGTAATTCTGCACGATGAAGGTGAATGTGAGTGGGGTTTGTGCTTCTGAATTCTCCCCTCGGATACATTTCCGTTTGCAGAAGACATGTGATCATCTGGAATCCACTGAACATGTGATCGTTCTGCTCGCATGTTCTATTTGATGTGCGTTTGCACAGGTGTCATTCCCATCAGGGACTGGGTTTATGTTCTCTACATTTTTGTGAACTGCTTCATTCTTTATATTCTCCAATAACCAGCCATTGAATTTGCTCTTCCGGTCTGACTAATGTTTGGTTGTGTTTTCTAGAGAGACCTTGGATTTTCCGCCCTGCAAGTGAGTTGCTTTTTCGTATCTGCTTCACACATCTCAAATTTCAGCCTTAAAATGGCCTTGATATTGAGTAGCAAAGGAGAGAGCAGCACCACCTCGTATTTGCCTCAGATAAAGCTTGATATTGAGGTCAATACGCAAAATACTGCAGATGCTGGAAATCTGACAACGCAAACAGAAGTCTCGGGAACACTCAGCAGGTCAGGCAGCATCTACGGAGTAAGGAAAAAGAGTCAACTTTCTGGTCCATGACCCTCCGTCAGAACTGAAAAGATTTGTGTAGTTTGTGATGTTTGAATTTCGTACTCGGATCATATGTGTGTTTTCCTTGTCGGCTTCCACTTGCTGTAGTAGTGACCTTTCTTACTTTTTACTTTCTCAGCCCCTCCAACACCTAAAACAACTGGTGAGTGAGCCCCATGTTTACTTTACTTACAGCCCAGGAAATGCAGAATGCATTGACTATTGGCCATATAAATGTCATGGACTTGGGTATAGGGAGTAGAATTTCCCAGCTTACAGATAATGCTAAGCTAAGAAGAGTAGAAAATTTTGTGGAGGATGATAGCAGACTGCAGGCGGCCATAGAAATAATTGTAAGATGGGCAGATACGTGGCAGATAGTTTAATTCCAATAATATGGACAAAATGCAATGTCAATGTGTTTTGGAAGGAAGAATGAGAAGAGGCAATGTAATAATAATAAATAATATTATCCTTGCATTTGATACAGCGCTTTTCACGTCGAAGGACGTCGCAAAGCGCTTCACAGAATACACTGTATAGTGAATTGACTGTATATTTGTGGGAACGCGGCAGCCAATTGCGCACAGCAATGTCCCACAAACAGTCGTAGATTGAAAAGGACCAATTTATTATTGTTTTTGTTTGGAGGGATTATTATTTGGTGTGGAGTAAGGAAACTTGCCCAAGGTTTCGCCGTGCCTGGAAGTGAACTCAGGTCTCTCGGTTGCAAAGCGAGTGGTCTAACCACTGAGCTACAGGACTCCACAATATAAACAGACAGTTGAATCTTAAAGGGGCTGAAGGAACACAGAGACCTGGGGCTTCACATAAATCTTTGAACGTAGCAGGACAGGAAGATAAAGCTGTTAAAAAAGCAAAGGGGTTACTAGGCTTTATAAATCGGGGCAAAGAATACAAAAGTCAGGAAGTTATGATGAACCTTTAGAGAACACTGGTTTGGCAAATGAGGCAAACCTCAGCTAGAGACGGTATTGATTTCTGGGCATCACACATTCAGAGGATTTCTAGGTGTTAGGGGGTGCTCAGAGGAGATTTTCCAGGATGGTAACAGGAATGAGAGATTTCAGTTCCCAGGACAGGCTGGAGGCACTAGGATTATTCTTCTTGGAGCAGAAGATATGAAGAGGAGATGAAATAGAAGCTTTTAAAATTCTGAGAGGATTTGATAGGGTGAAGAAGGAGAAACTATTTGCACTGGTGGGTGGCTCTGTAACCAGAGGGCACCGTTTCAAAGCAGTTGTCAAAAGAAACAGAGGGGAGGTGAGCAGAAAGTGTTTTCACAAAGCGAGTTGGTTGGTTCAGGAATGCATTGACTGAAAGGGTGGTGGAAGCCAATTCGATGACAACTTTTAAGAGAGATGTAGATAATTATTTGAGAAGGACAAAGTTGAATGGCTGTGGGGGTAGAGTGGGGGAGTGTTATTGATTGGGGCAGCTCTTTTCAAAAAGCCGGGACAGACACGATGAGCCATATGGCCTCCTTCTGTGCTGTATAATTCTGTATTTCTATGATCGTATTGAGATTCACGTGCAGAATGAAGTTGCTTGGTCAACTCTTGCAATACACAGAGTGTTTGAGTATCAATTTTGGAGTCAGTTATTCAATTCATTTTGAATTAATTTTTTATCACATCAAGTGTGGAATCCGTGTTTTGCCTATTTCACTGTAAATGATCGTTTCTGCCTTTTGCAGTTCACCCTCACAAGCCATTCCGTGAGTCATTTGCTTCTTTCCAAACCCAACTGCTGCTGAATGTGTGAATCGTCATTCAAATATAAATTCCCAATTGCGTTCGGTGGAGAATTGGATTGCAATTCAGAGACTGTAAAGAATGGGATGAAATAGGAGATTGTTGGGGTTTTGAATTGTGTGCTGGAGTCAGTGTGTGTTTGTCTTGTCAGCTTTCAGTTGCTGCACCAGTGACTTTTCATTCCTCCTTTCTCAGCCAACATTCCTGAACCATTGCCGACAGGTGAGACACACTTTGTTATGCATTCAGCACCTCAATTGCAGGAGCAGTGAGAATGTTGTCTCAGGGCTGGATATTGCATTTGAATGTTTGAATCAATCAGTAATTCTGCACGATGAAGGTGAATGTGAGTGGGGTTTGTGCTTCTGAATTCTCCCCTCGGATACATTTCCGTTTGCAGAAGACATGTGATCATCTGGAATCCACTGAACATGTGATTGTTCTGTTCACATGTTCTATTTGATGTGTGTTTGCACAGGTGTCAGTCCCATCAGGGACTGGGTTTATGATCTAAATTTTGGTGTGAACTGTTTAATTTGTGATATTCTACAATAACCAGTCATTTTCTTTGCTCTTCCCATCAAACTAATATTTGGTTGTGTTTTCCAGGGAGACCATCAACTCACGTACCTGCAAGTGAGACACTGTTTAATATCTGCTTGATGAGCTCAACGTTGCCGCCTTAAAATAGGTTTGAAATTGATTAGCAAAGGAGAGAGCAGCACCACCTTGTATTTGGCTCAGTTGAAGCTTGATATTGAAGTGTTGGACTGGAGCCAGCAATCACACACGGCATGATGGCCTGGGGTGCAGTTTGGGATGTTTGAATTCAGTGCTGGGATCAGATGTGGGTTTTTCTTGTCGGCTTTCACTTCCAATCATTAAGAATGTGCTTGGCAAAAGAAGACCATGGTCCATCTATTTCACCTGCCACCATCCTGGCAGTCGTCTCCCAAACGTTATCCTAAATCCCGAGATATTATTTTCTGGCAGTAATCTATGTAATTTGTTCTTGATAGAAACAACATTTTCTGTTTTCACTGCTCCTTCGGGAGACTGTTCCTCAAGTTTACTGTTCGCTCACTGAGTGTTTCCACAGATTTGTTCTGATTTCGACAGATTTAGCCCCTTTCAATCGCAGGTCATGTCCCCTGTTCAGCACAAGAAATATCAGCTTGGCGTGGTCTACATTATCTATTCCCTTCAGAATCTTAAAGACCATAATCATATTAGGGCCCCTCAACCTTCTCTTCTCCAGTGTGAACATGCCCAGTTTATCTAATCACTACTCATAGTCCAGACCCTCCATCCCCTGAAACATGTTGGTTGCTCTCCTCTGTATCTTCTCAAACACTGCAATATCCTTTCTGTATTACAGTGACCAGAACTAGATACAGTAATCCAAATGCTGTCACACCAGTGATTTGTAAAGTGTTAGGATCACCCTATGTTTCGGCTCAACATTGCCTTTTGATACAGCCCGGCATCCGGTTTGGCTTATTCTCTGCTCCCAAGCTTTGTTGAGAAAGCTTCAATTTTTCATCAATCAGGTTCCCAAGGTCCTTTTCATTTTCCGTACAGATTATTTCCTTACCTTTTAAATAATAGTCCCTTACTGGATTTTTTGTTCCCATGGGAAGCACATTTCATTTCTCGATATTAAATTTTATGTGCCATAGATCTACCCACTTCCTAAGAATGTTCAAATCTTCCTGTAACCTGTCCTGTTCCTCTTTGCAGTCAACCACCTTCGATAGCTTTGTAAATGCAAAATCAACAACAATGTGCCTAGAAACCAAGTAGTAAATTAGTTTGGCATGATCTGCCCTTCATAAACCTATATTGACTATCTTTTTTATCAATTTATAACTGACCAGGTGCTCCATGATCTTATTTTAGTAAGAATCTCCATCAGTTTATCAAATGCAGGGATTTTTACTCCTCCATTAACTCTAGAAATCCCTTCCCTATCTTACCAGTAGACACATTTTCAACCCAATCAATTTCAGGTAAGTTAATATCTCCAACTGCGATGGTTGGTCCCTTGCTAATCACCTTCCTGATCTCATCCCACAGTTCCAGATCAAGGCTATGACCCTGGTCTGGAGGTCTTTAACAAACCCCAATAATAGTGGACAGCCTCTGTTGCAATCTATTAATTCTACCGAAAGTGATTCTGTGGCTTCCCATCCTGAACGATGAAGGTGAATGTCAGTGGGGTTTACTGTACAGCCCAGGAAATGCAGAAAGTATTGACCATCTTACTGAGATTCACATGCAGAATGAAGTTGCTTGGTCTAAATTTCAACTCGTGAAATACACCGACTGTTTGCGTATCACCTTTGGAGTTTGCGATGGTTCTCACCCCTGTTGTAACACATCAATTTTATTCATGCAAAGGTGGCCTCTGTTTCAGCTCTTTCTCTGTAAGTGCAAGTCCCGACTCTTGTGGAAATTTCACTAATTAGAGCAACGTGCCGACAGGTATTCTCAATTGCCTCCTGCTCTTGCTATTGAGATGCCCTCATTATAGCCTTATTGCACTACCAGGCCTATAATTCCAGTGACTAACTGCTTGTGTGTAAATCCCCACCTCCATCTGTAGAATATTACAGCAACAAATATGCTTTTTAGAAGAAATAACACATGTTTATTAACCCTAAAGACCCTCAGTCTCCTTACTGTGCAGTGTTTGGGGTTGGATTGTGTGCTGCAGTCAGCGTGTGTTTGTCTTGTCAGTTTTCAGTTGCTCCACCAGTGATTTTTCTCTCCTCGTTTCTCAGCCAACTTTCCTGGACGACGGCCGACAGGTGAGACACACAACACTTGTTATACTTTGAGCTCAGCAATTGCAGGGAGCAGTGAGAGTGTTGTCTCAGGGCTGGATTTTGCTTTTGACTGTTTGAATCAATCAGTAATTCTGCACGATGAAGGTGAATGTGATGGAGTTTGTGCTTCTGAATTCTCCCCTCGGATACATTTCCGTTTGCAGAAGACATGTGATCATCTGGAATCCACTGAACATGTGATTGTTCTGTTCACATGTTCTATTTGACGTGAGTTTGCACAGGTGTCGTTCCCATCAGGGACTGGGTTTATGTTCTCTACATTGTTGTGAACTGCTTCACTCTTTATATTCTCCAATACCAGCCATTGAATTTGCTCTTCCCGTCTGACTAACATTTGTTTGTGTTTTCTAGAGAGACCTTGGATTTTCCGCCCTGCAAGTGAGTTGCTTTTTCTCATCTGCTTCATACATCTCAAGTTTCAGCCTTAGATTGCCCTTGATATTGAGTAGCAAAGGAGAGAGCAGCACCACCTCGTATTTGCCTCAGATAAAGCTTGATATTGAGGTTAAAACGCAAAATACTGCAGATGCTGGAAATCTGAATAAAAAAACAGAAGTCGTTGGGAACACTCAGCAGGTCAGGCAGCATCTACGGAGTAAGGAAAGTGAGTCAACGTTTCTGGTCCATGACCCTTCGTCACAACTAAAAGATTTGTTGAAGGATTGTGGAACCGAAACCTTGACTCACTTTCCTTTCTCCATAGATACTGCCTGAGTTGCTGAGTGTTCCCAGTGCTTTTGTCGTTGATATTGAGGTGTTAGACTGGAGCCGGCAATCACACACGGCATGATGGACTGGGGGGTAGTTTGTGATGTTTGAATCGAGTGCTGGGATCAGATGTGTGTTTTCCTTGTCGGCTTCCACTTGCTGTAGTAGTGACCTTTCTCCTTATTTTCTCAGCCCCTCCAACACCTAAAACAACTGGTGAGTGAGCCCCATGTTTACTATACTACCCAGGAAATGCAGAATATATTGACATTTGTACATGTAAATGACATGGACTTGGGTATATAGAGTAACATTTTCAAGCTTGCAGGTAATGCTCAGCTAAGAAGAGTAGCAAATTTTATGGAGGACTGTAGAAGACTGCAGGAGGACATTGTTGTAAGATGGGCAGACACGTGGCAGATGAAGATTAATTCCAATAATGTGGACAAAACGCAAAATAATGCATTTTGGGAGGAAGAATGAGAAGAGGCATTGTAAACAAGTTGGTAGAATCTAAAAGGGACTGAAGGAAGAAAGACACTTGTGGCTTCATTTCAGTAAATCTTCGCAGGTGGCAGGATAGTCAGATAAAGCTGATAAGAAAGCATAGGGGTCTCCAGCATTTAAAAATAGGGGCAAAGAATACAAAATCCGGAAGTTATGATGAACCTTTATAGAACACTGGTTTACCAAATGAGGCAAACCTCAGCTAGAGATGGTATTGATTTCTGGGCACCAGACTTTTGGAGGATGTCAGGGGTTAGGTGGTGCTCAGAGGAGATTTTCCAGGGTGGTAACAGGAATGAGAGACTTCAGTTATCTGGACAGGCTGGAGACGCTAGGATTATTCTCCTTGGAGCAGATGTGAAGAGGAGATGAAATAGAAGTTTCTAAAATTCTGAGAGGATTTGATAGCTTGAAGGAGGAGAAACTATTTGCACTGACAGTGGTCAGTAATCAAAGGGAACAGTATCTCAATAGTTGTTGAAAGAAACAGAGGTGAGGTGAGCAGAAAGTGTTTTCACAAAGCGAGTTGGTTGCATCTGGAATGCATTGCCTGAAAGGGTAGTGCAAGCCAATTCGATAACAACTTGACAGATATAGATTATTATTAGGGAGGACAAGATTGGACGGCTGTGTGTATAGAGTTAGGTATTGGAATTGATTTTAATAGCCCTTTTCAACAAGACGGCAGAGACACGATGAGCCGAATGTCCTCCTTCTGTGTTGTATAATTCTATATTTCTATCACCTTATTGAGATTCATGTGCAGAATGAAGTTGCTTGGTTAAAATTTGTTCTGTTACAACACTCCGACTGTTTGAATATCACTCGTGGAGTCAGCTATTCAATTAATTTCAAGTTAATTTGTTATCACATCAAGTGCGGAATCTGCGTTTTGCCTATTTCACTGGAAATGATCTTTTCTGCCTTTTGCAGTTCACCCTCACAAGCCATTCCGTGAGTCATTTGTTACTTTCCAAACGCAACTTGTGCTGAATGTGTAAAATGTCATTCAAATATAGAATTCCCAGTTGCCTGAGGCTGAGAATTGGATTGTAGTTTTGGCTCTGATCAGAGACTGTAAAGAACGGCATGAAATAGGAGATTGTTTGGGTGTTGAATTGTGTGGTGGAGTCAGTGTGTGTTTGTCTTGTCAGCTTTCAGCTGCTCCAGCTGTGATTTTTCTCTCCTCCTTTCTCAGCCAACTTTCCTGGACGACGGCCGCCAGGTGAGACACACACTTGTTATGCTTTCAGCACAGCAATTGCAGAAGTGAGAATGTTGTCTCAGGGCCGGATTTTGCATTTGAATGTTTGAATCAATCAGTAATTCTGCACGAAGAAGGTGAATGTGAGTGGAGTTTGTGCTTCTGAATTCTCCCCTCGGATACATTTCAGTTTGCAGCAGACATGTGATCATCTGGAATCCACTGAACATGTGATTGTTCTGTTCACATGTTCTATTTGATGTGTGTTTGTACAGGTGTCATTCCCATCAGGGACTGGGTTTATGTTCTCCACATTTTTGTGAACTGCTTCACTCTTTATATTCTCCAATACCCAGCCATTGAATTTGCTCTTCCCGTCTGGCTAACATTTGGTTGTGTTTTCTAGAGAGACCTTGGATTTTCCGCCCTGCAAGTGAGTTGCT